AATTTCACCCGCCTAGCTTGAATTTTCGTCTTTAGAAAAGAAAAAGTGTGAAATGTACGGAATTTTCTCTTTGTTGACTTTCATTTTGAACACCCTGTAAATCACAATTGAATAGACCAAACAAAAAATGGTAAAGGAATTTTTTTTAGCTCTAAATGTCACCTTTCTAGCAAGGATAAATTTAAAATTGTTTGATTGATATTTTGCGAGAAATCGATAACTAAAGTCATCTAACGAAAAAATAATGGATTACTTTTTCCCCAACCTAATATATTATAAATATTTTATATAAAATATAAATATATATAAAATAATTATTTTATTTAATACAATATAATATATATAAATATATATTATAAATAATTAATTTTATATACATTTTTATTAATTTTCTATATTTTTATAATATTTTAGAAAATAATTTTTATTAATTTAACACAATATTAATAATTTTATTACATATTTCTAATAATTTTTAAAAAATAATTCAATTAATTTCTATACATTTTATTTTTCATTTTTTTTTATTAACTTATTTATAAAAAAAAAAGAAAAAAAATATCTTTAATTAAATAAACAATCTAAAAATAGTATAAAATATATATAACGGGTGAGAAATTAATACACCTAAGTGAATTCTTCTGATCAACGATCGCACGGAACAAAAGGGGGTCATTCATTACTAATACTAATACAAAACACAAAGTAAGAATAATAACCAATAGGAAAGGTGTATGTTTGATAAGATATAATGTAAGTAATGAGTTATGGCAAAGCAAGTAAGGGTAGTAGTATAACATCAATACCGTACAAGGAATGTTCTACGTTTAGTTTCGTATTCCTATTGAATTATGATTATAATAAATATATATACATATATACATATATTTTTATCGGTGTGATAGAATTAATTAGTGATTTATTAATACTATTTGTGTATCTCTCATTTCACATAAGACAGAAAAAAAAAGAGAAAAACTAATTAATTAAAATAATAAATAAAGTTGATGTCAGAAATCTAAAACAAAATGTTACAATTCGAAGATTTTCGTCAAAGTTTAAAACCATTAATAATAATTAATTCAATATTTTCAACCGGTCTGATTGAATATTTTATTGATTTGAAAATAAACCTAATTGGTTTTATTTACGTTATTATTGGCTTTATTTTGTATATAATTGTTGCATATAATTATTCATTTAATTTTATGATGATTGATATTGCGCAACAAGTACTCGTACGATTGTTATATAAATTATATATTATTAATGATTTTATTTTTTATATCATTTCGATCATAGCAGGTATTTTGAGACGAAAGGTAATTTATTTGTAATTTAAATTCTTTTTTTCTTTTTTTTAATAATTTGCGTTAAATATTTAATTTTTGTTTGTTTGTTTAGGAAATAAGACGTTTAACAATACAAATAGAAACATGTGTTAAATCAATGAATCAACTTAACATTCCGATGAATTTGTCTAAATATTTTTGGCAACAGTGTATTATGATAATATTTTTAATTGTTACTGTAATATCATTTTTTTTTATTGATATTCCATGTCTCAAATCATCGAAAGATGATTATTGGAAATTGTGTATATTTTTATATTTAGAACGTTATCCGTGTCTCGTATTGTTCATCAATGATCTCACTTATTTATTTTGGATGAGGCAAGTAGTATTATTTATTTATTTAAAAAAAAAAAAAAAAGAAATATTTATCTATATATTTATTTGAAAGTGAATATAATTAAATAGGTATATCAAAACAAAATTGAATGAATTAAATAAATTATTACAAAATATGTTAACTACGAGTAACAATTCACCACAACATAAAAGAGTATTAAGATTATATAATAATAATAATAATAATAATAATAATGATTTAGTATCATCTGGTATATACAGAACGTATAAATCTAACGAGGAAATTATTAAGATAAAAAAAATACGGTAATTATTATATTTATTATTATTATATTTAATTATATATATATATATATATATATATATAGTTTTTGTTGTTATATTTGTGCACTGTTATTTAATTAGTTTATTAAATTAATTTTAACAAAGTAAAATAAAATTTACATTTAAACAAAATTTATTAATATAATAATAAATTTTAATAAAGAAAAAAAAAAGTAAAAATATAATTTATATTATTTATAATCTTGTATAATTATTATAAAATAATTTTTAATTATATTTTCTATATTTTTTTTGCACTGTTATTTAATTATTTTTTATAATATTATTATTAAATATTGTATATTTAATTTTTATTTTTAATAAGATATAAAATAATATAAATATATAGATAATTTAATATAAATATATAAATAAAAAAAATATTAATTAAATATAAAGATATTTAATTTAATAATAAATGAATAAATTTAATTAAAAAACAAGTAAAAATATAATTATTATTATTTATAATTTTATAATTATTATAAAATAATTTTTTATTACATTTTTATATTTATGCACTGTTATTTAATTATTTTTTATAATATTATTAAATATTAATTAATAATATTTTTTTTTAAATGATTTTAATAAATTAATTCTAATAAGTTAATAAAATAAAAGTAAAATAAAATAAAAGTTAATAAAATAAAAATAAAAATTAAATGTAAAATAAAATAACAATTAAATGTAAAAAAGTATTTATTAATAATAAATTTAATAGAAAAATATGTAAATTTAATTTACGTTATATTTATAATTTTGTGTAATTATTATAAAATAATTTTTAATAATTTGCACTGTGTTATATTTTTATATATATATATATATATATATATATATATATATATATATATATATNTATATATATATATATATATATATATATATATATATATTTATCTAAATAATTTTTAAATATTAATTATGAATTTAATCTGTTATAATAATAATTATAAATATTTGTTTATTTAAAAAAAAAAAAAGGGAAATACATTTGGAATTAACCAAATGTGCGAGAAATATAAATGACGCATATGGAATACATATTTTAATGTCAATAACAACTGCATTCATTTTAATAACTGCAGTTGCATACAATCTGTACTTTCATCTTATCAATAAAATTTATCGTACAGATATTTATGAATCATTTATGATTTTTCATTGGATATTATTTTTTTCATTAAAAATTATCGTAATTAGTTGGATTTGTACGAAAACTATTACCGAGGTATGTTTTGTGAAAAATATTATTTCTTTTTTTTTCTATTTTAAAATTTTATATTAAAAAAAAAAAAGTATATATATATATATATATATATATTTAACAACATTTGTGTATTTATTTTTACATGCAAAAAATACCGGAGATATTTTATGCGAATTGTACGAACCATCGATCAGTAAAGAATTTCGTGTTGAGGTATTTTTATTAATAAATAAATAAATGTATGTTTATATTTTTATATTATAAAAATTATTAATTGTTAATAATTATGTTAGATTCGTGATTTTATTATACAACTTATACAAAATCCACTATCATTGACAACCTGTGGATTTTTTAGTCTCGATCATACTTTGATTAGTAACGTAAGTAATAATAATAATATTTATTAATTCATTTATTCATTATATTTATACTTAATAATATTTATTAATTATAGGTAATCAGTACTGTCACAACTTATCTAGTTATTTTAATTCAAGTTGGTAACGTACCAGCACAATTTTATCCAAATTCAACGATATTAACAACTGATTTGTAAAAAAATTTCAAATTATTATTCAATGTAAATTATTCTGAATTTATAAATGTATAATTGTTTAAATAATTTAATGGAAAAAGTCGTATTATTGATTATTTTTGTTTACAAGGTACTATGCTTATTAAAATTATTCACTTTTCTTATATTGTACACATTGTAATTTTAATAATAATAAATAATAAATAATTAATGTGTTTAAACGATAAAAGTATATGATCACTGTAAAATTACAAACAATGTATTTGTCGAATAATTAAATTAATAATACATTATATAATTTATAATTTATATAATA